AGCCGTCACAAGATATGGAACGGCACAGCCGGTTACTGCAATAACCGAGGCTGTACTACTCATGTGGTACACACACAGCTTCGCTGTGTACGCACTGCTTCTCTGTGCGACTGTGCATCCTGGGAATGTACTGTATAGTACTACGTAGCCACAGATGTACAGTAGTATATATAGGGGACCTCTGTACCCCCAATCTACAGTTCAGTTCACTCGAACATCTCCTCTCATCGCTCTAACAAGCCTCTTACAACCAACAATCCTTCTAGGTGAGTTGCAGGCTATCCGCTGTCGTTGCCACCCATGGGAGAGGCCTTCGCCCCCCGGGTTCAACAATTATATTGTGTTAGATGTAGTGCAATCCAGGGGTTGCGATTGCCCTTGTAGCTGCTTGTAAAAATACAGGACATGCGCCGTCCGGTGATATATTGTAATGAGCAAAGTATATGCATCTCTGTCGAAGTTTGTAAATCACATGGACCAGCTACTGTTAGATATTGTACAATACTCTCTTGTGATATACTGTAACGAAGAACACTCAATACTGGTATTCAGAGGCTCGTGAATGCTGGTAGCGAAAATTAGCCTTCTAGGACGCGTGCACGCCTTCCGCTTTTGGAAATCAAGCGCTCATGCGACTTTCAGGCACTTCCATGCCCCGACCCGACGCGTCCTCACCCATTTTGACCCCTTTCAGACCCGTCTGTATACTGCCCTGACCAACTCGCCAACTCTCACACAACTCTAGAGTGGCCTCAAGATTCGTGCAATGCGACCGGCCCAATCGGACATGTTGGTTGCCCGATTTGGAAAAGCGCGAGGCGCTGGTGGTCCGTGCCCTCCTGTCAACACTCACGTAACAGACGTCCTGATCATTCGGTGGGCAATTTTCTCCCTCCATCGTCTCTCCTCCTCCCTACTCGACACCCTTGCACCGTATTGACTCACCTGGACGACTGCAAATTGACTTTGGAATACACGAGTTTCACGCTCACGTGACCGGGCACTTGGAGGTTAGGATCGTCTAGAAGAGCCTTGAGCATGGAGGCTCAAGGCCAACGGTATGTGCCCTTCGGGTCCAATCTGCTTATTCCCCTACTTCCCATCTCATTTTCATTCTATGTCATCCGTTCATGCTCATTGGACACCGGTGTTGGCCCTGGCCTCTCACTCCTTCACACACTGTTCCTCCCTATACCGTATGATACGAGTAGGAGCCGGCTGGAGTCAGGAGATATTATCTTCACCAATCAATACATTTCACCCGCTGCCATGACTGCAACTTTTGCATGCGGCCTGTGTCCGCTGTGGTCCGCCTCCTGTTGAGCCTTTCCCGTACTTGGTGTTGTATTCATATCCTGTGTGTTCTCTTACACGGTTTGCTGGTGCGCTTTTTTCTCGCCTTATCCCTTCCATAAAAACCCCCAATCAACGTATGCACACGTATCCAGCGCGGTTCTGCCTCCAGCATGAGGTTTGGAAGCCGCATAGGCTATGTCCCCCTTCTGTAACCCTTGTTGAGCCGCAGTACAGCTTAGGGAAGCTCGTCTATGTACATGTATCTACGATTGTCATACAATACCAGAATTCTGAAGAGACGTTCCACCAGCCAGCGTGCGCATATCTGTAATTGTTCGGCACTCATACAGTAACAACATTAGCTTTCTCATACGTATATATCAGTCTTCTGCGTCGTTTTCATCCTCTGCGCCGTCATCTTCCAAAGCAACTTGCTCCTCGCTCCTATCCTTTCCTAGTGCTAAACTGAATTTCCTCGGACGCACTTTGCGTCCGTTGTCTTTGTACTGGGCTATCCAAGAAGGAAGCGGGCCGAGTTTTTTGAGGTAATTGACCCAAAACGAGGCGCACCTAGCGGCCAAGTTTTCGAAGACGGCCGCCTGCTTTTCAGCATATATTGACAGCCCTAGCTGAAGCGTGGGGTCAATGTCCGACCTGCGGTTTTTTTAGCTTCGCCACCATGCGGCCCTGTCACTAGAAAACTCAATCACTCTGCGCATCTCCTCAAGAACCAACCGTTCATTCTCTCGCCACCGTTCCGCTCGTGCTTTGGCCTGCGCCCATCCAAGGCGCATGCTAACCTGAAATTCTTGCGCACGTTCGGGGCTTGTCGTATCTCGGGCGTTGGCGCTGTCATTCGGGTTTGCACGGGGGGTGAGCCAGATCCAGCTAACGGAGTACTGACCGAAGCTCTCCGATGGGTCATCGCTCCGAGGGCCACGGAGGTCGCCATCTTGTAGAACCTTGTAAGTATCGGTCCAACTTGCCTCCGGGTCTAGGCTCAGAAGGGCCTTGTGAGCGTCCCGGTATCGCGCCACACTTCGACCTTGCTTCTTCTCGAACTGGGCGTAGAGTCCCCGCATGCGAAGGACGGCACGCTGGCCAGTGCCGGCAATGTTCTTGCGCGTGTAATCTGATATTCCCGCGAGGATGCGTCGGGACCGGCGGACCTCTTCGAGACTGTCCGAGAGTTGTGCCAACCGCAAGCGTCGCTCCTTGTCTCGCAAGCCGTGCAGGACTTCAGAAGTTGCCAAGTGGGGAGGGAGGGACGAGGGAAGCCAGAGTTTAACATCTTCGGCTTTAGGAGGCGAAGGCAGGGAGGTGTCAGGATGCGCGTCAGCTGGAGCAGGACATGTATTGCGCAACTGGGCGACCATCGGCATGTGGACGTCTTGAATGGCCTGCCAGTTTTGGATCCGTCGTGACAAGACATTCCATTTCTCCTGAAGCCCGGCTAACTCCAGGATACTGGTTCCTGAAGCTGCACGCAATCGGAGGGCCCGTCTGTTCCCATTAGGATAGCAAATTACAATTATTCACAACATGTACTCACTGCTGATCTTTGAGTTCCAACCCCACCTGTAAGAATGCTCCCGGTGTAACCTCGTGTTCTGGAAGCAGGCCTTGCGCCGCTTCTTTTTCCTCTTCTTGTGCAAGCTCTAGCTTGACAGTTGCGGTGCTTACAGCTGCAATATATCAGATATAATCATCGGAAGAATGGAAAGCAAACTCACATTTGATTGGTTCCTCATAGGGGTCCGGCTGATCCGGGTCTTCATTCCAGGCCTCGACCATCACCTCCCATGTGCGCACGACATCGGCATCGAATGTTGCATTGTAATCTTCAAATGCCTTATCCTGCTTAATGCGCATATCATGGGCTTCTTCAAGAGCACGTAAGAAAGTGATCCCTGTGGCGTGCTCATCAGTGCTCTAGTATAGCGCGTTTATGGAACGATATCTACCAAATGCGACGATTTTTTGCCAATTCCATGCGCCCCAATGGTCGTTATAGACCTCGTGGCACATACCGGGGCTCATTTCCCACGTACTCAGCGAGAGCGGGTTCATATGTGACCAGTGGGACTCGATACCTTCACCGTACGTCTGACCGACGTGTGGGAGATAATTGAGCGAGAAGCGTGAATGACTGGGATTGGATTCATGGACTTTCCAATGCTTCTTCGGAATGGCAAATCGAATGCTGTCCCATCGAGATTGATCGATCCACATCTCTGGGAAGTCTTCGACCATGCGTGAAAATAAATTCTTGTACCATTGGCAGACAATGTCGTATGAAATCAGAATCGCCAATATGACGCCAAGGAGTGTTGAGAAGTAGAGGTAGTCCATATTTGCATATCTAGAATAAATAAATTGTCATGAGCGCGGCCTGTACATAGACACAACCAATTGTTTACCCTTCGCCCAGCTGGAGATCGCCTGCCCCATTTTTCCGGACCAATCCGTGTCGGGCGCATAGAACCGCGCCAAGCCCTGATGCGAGATAACCCTCACGGCGTTGATTGGCCTTGAGCACGGCACTATGCTCCGCTGAGCATGAGTACGGCTGCGCTCCCCCGAGGTAAGTGTTCAGGTACAACAGGATGCAGATAGTGTAAGCACTATACCTCTTTGCGTTTGCGTGCATGTGCAGCCTTCACATGAGCCTGGTATTTCGACTCTTCAACATAGTAGGACCATCCAGGAGCAAGCTCGATGTCATTGAAGCCGCGATCCTTCGATTTTGCCCGGAAGTTTGCATCAATCATCAGGAACAGCGTATATAGTCATCTGGTTATTACCCAATCAGAAACCGTACTTGGCTCAAACCTTATACTTACTTGACGTCAGGAGGGGCAGTATCCCAATTCAGGGGGAGATTGCGACCTGGATGCGGGCACGCTGGGCATTCAACGACCAACTCTCCCGGCTTGGTTCCGTCTGGTCCGGCAGGATCATGCGCCCGTCCGAATCGCTTCAACATGACGAGGTGGCGCCAGATTCTCATTACATGTGATAATTGCTTGTAGCGATTCTGTGTTAATCGATGAGCGTCCAATATTGCACATGAAGGGCTAGGGGGAAACATATGCTCTCACAGAGACGTCGACTCCGCCTGAGTTGTCAGTTATACGTTCTATAGTCCTCCAGAAATCGAATAGATTTGTCTTCCCCTGGAAGCTGATCTCCTGGAATGTATCGAGAAGGTCGAAAGTGAACGCGGTTGCAGGGGAGTGTGTAGTAGCGGGAAACCATCCGAAGCGGAAGAGTTGACACCACTCAGGTGTAAAGTAACAATTTTTGTCTAGACATTCACAGAAGCGAACGCTGACGGCCTGAACTCCAGAAGTGTGGCCCACAACAATGCGACAAGGCTGTTCTGCCGGGTGTGGGCAAGTACCTCGGTCATATCCAAGTTGGACAACAAGACCAATATCCCGCAACGAGCATTGGGAGAATTTCGCGCCGTCCCAAGTCTATTTATCAAATGAGAATGAGAAAGAGGACGTTGTACAGCAAAATAAGCAAACCTCAATTCGATGCAAAGGCATGTCTGCATGCCTCAACCTGAGACAGCTTTCGCAACATAGCGGCCGTCGGGCACAGTCACGGCATCGCATTTTGGCGGGATGTTCTTTGCAGATCAAACAGAGAACAATCCCATCCTCGACGGGCTCCTCGCACCCTTCGAAACGCAATAACTCATCGAGAAAATCACTCCGGAAAGGGAGCCACTCTACAAGCTTACTCTACATCGAAAACCAGTTAGCATACCTCTGTAGCACTATGCAATAGCGTGAGGGGCAAACATACTACAGCAAGTAAGTCTGGCCGTTCTCTTCTCCTTTGAGATGACTCGTCCAGATTATTTTCGTGTGCAAGAGTGGTGGAGTCGACCTCGTAAGCGGAATCAAGCAAGGTAGCTGCTTCCGGAGATTCCTGCAATTCAGGCTTTCTGAAAACGAGTTCGGCCAGATCAACAGCGACTTGCTTGATTTGAGATCTTTGGCCAAGCCGCCTGCTCGTAGATGTGTAGACGTGGAGAGTCTGAACATCTACAGACCCGCTCGCCGCGACTTCCCTGCTGGATGTCCCGTCCTCGATGTCCTTGAACCGTGCCTTCTTAGATCTTCGAGTCTTCTGCCCTGGGACATCTTTCCTCTTCCCTACATTGCTGAACATTGTAACTTTCCTGTGCTATAGGAATCGCCTCTAAGGTAGGTTTTCAAGTTATGCGACAAAGAGCGGTGACAAGTGTTGAGGCGCTGAGGCGCACGGAAATCCGAGCACTTGCATCCTCCATCCACTCTGTGCACCTGGCCTCTGTCAATGTAGTTACTCAGGTATCAAACTCTTGAAACATACTCGGCTTGCATTTCTGTGCCAATAGGTATAAGATCTACCTCACAGACAGTATTTTCCAACTCTATGCAGCCTCAACTTGACATTTCGATATTTGTAGCGTGCGCTCGCTCCCAGGCTGTTTAGCATGTCCCTGCATGCACTATTTCGATAGTGTACTCCACTTCATTCTGGACAAACCCTTTTTCCGTGCGTTCCAACATAACGTATACAAGTTGCGAATCACCTACTATGTTGTCATATATTGCTGATGCGCTCCCTTTCGAGGAGTCCGTATTCAAGCATGTTGCAATTGACAGACCACTGAGACGAGGTGTAGGTGCATATACTCACCAACTTTGATGTCTCCGTTCTCACAGCCATCACGCGAGACGTCCACCATTACAGTTTCAAGACTTCTCTTCGAACACTTTCTTGCGATGGGGATGATGCGGGGATTCAAGAACGACCAGGTTAGTCTGCTCGATATTCACCCTTCTATTGAACCACACCGCTCAGGTGTACTGACCTCGGCTGTTTTCAACACCTTGCAAATATCTGCATGTGCTGTGTGTTTTTCCAGATCACGTAGTCCTTCATAAAGTCGCGCGCAAGCGTGTGGAGTTCCCGAGGGATTGTCGACGAAACATGCGCTTCCAAGTGTCCTGGACACCGGGCATGTACAGTCTTCTCCCCGAGCACTCGTATAACCCTGTCTTTTGAAACCCTTGTCGAAAATACAGTTGTTTCCAGGTCAATGCATATGCCGGATTCCCATGAGTGTACAGGACATCCTCTGAAAGCTTGACTACTACACATTGCGATTGCGCACGGCGAGACTGCATTAAAGGTGACTGTACAGTATGGAGACACGAACACCTAAAGGGGCCAATATTGCGACCGCAATATGGATCACCCTGCTGAGCGCATGATTTGGGGTGATGGCAACGACTCGGGACGGGAGCCGGATGGATGGAACGAGTGCGATCGGGCGCAGGCAGATCGGGCCAGGCCGTTTTGTGATCGACGGAGTCAAGTGTGGATGCAGCCTGTCTTACTCCTCTCTTAGCAAGCAGTCGGCCAGATAAAAGGGAATGTCTGACCGCGCTGGTAGGGTACGTCGCATAGCGTCTTTGGACGTTGGACGAAACGGTGTATGAAAATATTTGAGGAAGTCTGAAAGTGGAGAACAACGTAGTGATGCTCGCCCAGTCAGATCATTAGCCAAACACTGATCAGAAAATCCACGTATGCATAGTGGGGCCTGGCGCAGTGACCCCTGAAATCTGCGGATATCCCGGGGCCACTCTGACCGTCGACCCATCCGCCCATCTCAACTCGTCCATCCTCCGCAGAACCTGCACCATCTCCATTCCTTTAATTCCACTGCTTTCTACACGTCTGAACCTACGAAATATGGGACGCAGTCCATGGTCTACCCAGGAAGAATTTGAGTGGCTACTCGAGCAGCTTCCTGGTTTCCGTGTCGCGCGTGCCAACGAGACGAGTGCGCAATTTCTCAACGCGGCATACCAGGGCTATTTCGACAAGTTTTGGCCCGGTATCCTTCAGTCTTCTGCAATAGAAGTCGGCAAGGATGGTGGCGAAGTCACAGGACCTGGTGGGGTGACGTTCAAGAAGCGCAAAGATGTGAGTCAATGAACCTCCGGAGGGTGATTCTCGTACTCACTTTCTCACCAGCAAATATACTGGTGGTTTTGGAACTGGCGGTTTGGCAAGACGGGAGTGAAGAAGGCGAAGGAAGGCATCAGTCTAACTCCCAAACGACCCGTGAGACTTCAGCCCTACCAAGCATACTTGTCTCTCTACAAGGACACCATCATGCCCGCCATCCAGCAAAGGTTCAACGAGTACAAGGTTTCTGTCCCACCGGCTGAACTCAGAGCATGGTGGTCGTTCGTGATCAGACAAGCGAAGGAAATGCTTACGGAGGAGACCGCCGAGGTCCAGGCTGCAGTGGAGGGATATTGTGAGCAGACAGCCCAGATCGACTACGGCTTGGAGAGTTTTCTGGACGAAAGCGAGACGGTGTCCGAGATAGACCTCTGCAATAGAGCACGCAGTATCCAAGGGTAAGTAAAGCTTTCAAGATTGTGCATCGGTGACATCACTTACCAATATCCTGACTAGCCGGCTCGGTGCCCTTCCCAAGACCCTTCAAGGCGTTCTCGAGTCCCTGGAGCAGCAGACGGGGTGGAAAGGCACTATCATTGTGGGCGGGCCACGTCCGGAGACAGGCAAGTTCGCTGTGATGTCGTATGTATCAGTATCAGTCTCTCTTCCAAATAAGAACTCAAAGTATACAAAGCCTTCATCATGGGCGCACAAGAAATTTAGGGAACATGTTTTCCGAGGCCACGCCCCTCTGGACGATGTTCGAAGAAGCCTATATGGAGTTCGTTGTCAGCTGCTTCCGTAAGTACTCCTTCGCATTTCTGTGTTTGCAACTGCTGAGAAATGTCTTGCTTGACAGCTGTTGACGTCTGTAAGAAGGTCCATGAAGCTTACAGAGGTTTGGCGGCGCTCGTAGCCCAAGAGCCGAGTTCAACTTCTCAGGCTGTCAGCGCCGATGCCGTCACATCAAACGGCACTCCTCCTACCGCCTCACAATCGCTCACTACGGCCACAGAAGGATCGTCCACACAGCAGTCCAGCCAGGGGAAGACTGCGACAGCTGAACAGGAGAGCACCCCGACTTACGAAGAGCTCCGTCAAGCCCAAATTCGGAGGAATCAGGAGCTCATGGAATCATTGGGGCTGGCCAACGCTGCGAAGGCTGTCAACAAACCCCCTGGCAGGAAGCGCGGTAGGAAGCCAAAAAACGCAGTCATCGAAGATTCTACTTCGGTTCAGCCTCCACCTCCTGAAACGTCACCCGCCAACCCTTCCACGAGGTCTACGAGCTCGACTCTCGCCCCATCTGCCAACCCTATTCCTGCACTGACCACGAATCTCTCCCCTTCGCCAGTGGCAACTCTAATTCCTGGACGCACCATGCATACGACCCCCTTACCCATCGCGAACGACACCTTCACACCTGTTGCAACTCCTCCTAGTACCGTCTTGTCCATTTCAAATGACACTCTCACACCGGTTGCAACCCAGACTCCCGCACCCGCCGCGAATTCTACAGTCTCGCTCCCCGCGGACTTGAATTCTGGACCCGCCGCGTCGCCTACACCTTCGCCCGCCACGTACCCCACTGCCGCGCTCCTCCCAAACTCACTCATGGCGCCGGCTGCAAATCCTGCCATCTCGTCCGCTGCAAACACGAACACCGCGACGTCCAATCTTGCAGCCACGGCCCCTGCGACGACCTTGAACCCGCCGTCTACTAACTCGCTTTCAGCCTCGTCTACTGTGAGTTCATTCACTCCCCACATGGAGAACATTGCGCGCACGCTCACTTCTTATCCCTTCGCTGATACTGTCAACGGCTGGGGTGCTAACTATTGCACAGGACAATTCTGCTCCGTTCAACGTACCTCTGCAGATATATACCCCTCAAGACACCCTCCCCGTTTACATTACTGACGCACTCAAGTATTTCGAGCTCCTTAACGGCGGCGCGCGCTGGTCTGAACTTGTGAAGGCTTGGGTAGACTTCGAGCGCAAGCTCGGCTTTCCCTCAAATCCTCAGGTACGCATGCCAAATATCTTCACCAGCATTAGTCACTTATTTGTATGTAGGATCGTCACCACTGGCTGCCCTCGAAGGAACATCCTGAGGAGATCAAGATGTGGTCGAAGGCCAGCCGATCGTACGAAAAGCTACCCAAAGTCAAATCAACTCAGCAATATGCCGTCGGGTGGAAGCGTTGGTGGGTGTCACTCCAGCCTCCATCCCGGATAGAACATGGGAACACTTGGCCTCCCGCACGCTGCGAGCCTGCAGACGACGAGGAGTGGAATTCCGTCCGCCGTGGTGGGCCGAACGGTATGTTCCTGGCTGTCATCTCATTGGCATGGTGGCTCTGGGCCGCTGTCGATGCAGGCGAGCCAGTGGTGGGCTCGGAGGTCGAGCAGGCCATCGACGATATCGCCTGGGTCTGCCAGACCTGTACCGCAAATATTTTGGACACGCGTAAATGGGCTGCAGAGCCAGACGACCAGCCTGAGACCGGGGATGTTAACGAGAGGCCGAAGAGGGCATGTAGGCGTACGTGACTAACCCGTATCCATTGTCCACCCATTCGGATCGCTTTCTCGCAGTGTTCGCGTGTTTGGTGCCATGTGTATCATCTTCAGCTCAGTCTTACCTATTGTTGAACCCGGGGGGGCGAAGGCCTCTCCCACGGGTGGCAACGACAGCGGATAGCCTGCAACTCACCTAGAAGGGTTGTTGGTTGTAAGAGGCTTGTTAGAGCGATGAGAGGAGACGTTCGAGTGAACTGAACTGTAGATTGGGGGTACAGAGGTCCTCTATATATACTACTGTACATCTGTGGCTACGTAGTACTATACAGTACATTCCCAGGATGCACAGTCGCACAGAGAAGCAGTGCGTACACAGCGAAGCTGTGTGTGTACCACATGAGTAGTACAGCCTCGGTTATTGCAGTAACCGGCTGTGCCGTTCCATATCTTGTGACGGCTGTATTAGGCAAGCTGTGTAAACCAGCGCCTGTTCAACACTCCCCCTCGCTAAGTATCTGAATGGTTACGCAAGCGTAGC